AAAACAAAATGTTTTAAATTAGGACTCTCACTGTTCAGGTATGGTCTTTAAACTGAACTTCTATTTATTTTATTCTGGCTTCATTAAAAGAACATTTTCACAATTATTTTTTCATATTGCATTTTGTTTATTTTTCTTCTGTAAGCTGCTCAGAGGATATTAGCTGATGAGTGGCGGTATAAATTTAGCAAGTAAATTAGAGTCAAAAAATCCGCACTGACCTTCAAGCTAAGTTGTTTAGGCAAACGGTCAGAATTATTATGAATGGAGAAACTACATTAATGACTGCATTAGCAAGAAAACTTTTCACCACGTGGTATTTATCTCTTAATCATTATGAGAGTAATGGGGTGATTTAACAGAAATTATATTGCTCATTGCTAAATTGCACTTTCAGCCTGTTGCCACAAATGTCCCATATAATTGATTAATTGCATATGATGCTATATACGGAGCTACACATGTGCTCTGTCTTTCTTGAAAATTCTGAATTGCCTAGACCTCAACTGGCACCTGAATTGGGTAGGTATTTTTCCCCCTGTTGCAACAATGAAAGGACTGGGCATGTTTCGCCTTGAGAGAAGAAGAGTGAGAGTACATATGAGAGCACTTTTCAAATGCTTGGGGGCATGTTTCGCCTTGAGAGAAGAAGAGTGAGAGCACATATGAGAGCACTTTTCAAATGCTTGAAAGAGCTTAAGGATGAGCAAATGAGATACATTCAGGATCAATTCCAAGGTGTATGTAACCAGAAAAAGGAAAACATACCCCTGTCAAACTGATTTGTAGTATGCAGGGTAATTAGCACGGCACAGTGGCAGTTTATGTATTCTTGGTTCTCGTGTATGGCTAGGAACTATGGATTTTAACACGGGCAACTGTATTAAAAAGATAAAAGCATTTACAGAATGAATTTCTCGCTGGATACCAAGAATGCAAATGTATACTACAAAAACGGCAAGTGCTATTTTCGGTTGCATTAACAGAAGTATCGTCTCCATATCCCACAAGGTATTAGTTCCCCTCTATTTGGCACTGCTTAGGCCAGATTGGAGGAATCCCAAGACGGAATTAAGACTGCTGGAAAAAATATCAACAACCTCCGATATGCAGATGATACCACTCTGACGGCAGAAAGTGAGGAGGAATTAAAGAACCTCATAATGAGGGTGAAAGAGGAGAGTGCAAAAAATGGTCTGAAACTCAACATCAAAAAAACTAAGATCATGGCCACTGGTCCCATCACCTCCTGGGAAATTGAAGGGGAAGATATGGAGGCAGTGACAGATTTTACTTTCTTGGGCTCCATGATCACTGCAGATGGAGACAGCAGCCCCGAAATTAAAAGACGCCTGCTTCTTGGGAGGAAAGCGATGACAAACCCTGACAGCATCTTAAAAAGCAGAGACGTCACCTTGCCAACAAAAGGCCAAATAGTCAAAGGTATAGTTTTTCCTGAAGTGAGAGCTGGACCATAAAGAAAGCTGACCATCGAAGAATTGATGCCTTTGAATTGTGGTGCTGGAGGAGGCTCTTAAGAGTCCCCTGGACTGCAAGGAGACCAAACCTATAAATTCTAAAGGAAATCAAATCTGTGTGCTCACTGGAAGGACAGATCCTGAAAATGAGGCTCCAATACTTTGGGAAAGTGTGAAGGCAAGAGGAGAAGGGGAGGACAGAGGATGAGATGGTAGGACAGTGTCATCGAAGCAACCAATATGAATTTGACCAAACTTCGGGAGGCAGTGGAAGATAGGAGGGCCTGGCGTGCTCTGGTCCATGGGGTCACAAAGAGTCGGACATGCCTTAACGACTAAATGACGACGAGGCCTCTTCTTGAGTACTGTGTCCAATTCTGGACACCACACTTCAGGACGGATGCTAACAAATTGGAATAAGTTCAGAGGAAAGCAACAGGGATGGCCGGGGACAGGAAACCAAACCCTATGAGGAAAGACTGAAAGAATTGGGTATATTTAGCCTTGAGAAAAGAAGACTGAAGGCTGGTAAGATAACACTATTCAATTACTTGAAAGGTTGTCATACAGGGGAGAAGCAGGATCTCTTCCTGATCATCCCAGAGTGCAGGACATTCGACAATGGGCTCAAGTTACAAGAAGCCAGATTTCAATTGAATTTCAGGAAAAACTTCCTATGAGAGCAGTACAACAATGGAGTCAATTACCTCAAGAAGTGGTGAGCACTCCAACACTGAAGACATTCAAGATAAATTTAGACAACCACCTGGTTTGATTTGTATTCCTGGACTGAGCAGGTGGGGTGGACTAGATAGCTTTATAGGCCCTTTCCAACTTCATTATTCTATGATTCTGATGTCTTGGCTTGAAAGAGTGACTGGAGAGAATGAATGAAGATCAAGAAATCATAAAATATAGAAAAAGCAGACCAGAAGGGCACTTTAGTTATGTAATGAGAAATGAAAAACACAGATTGTTAGAGCTGATCATTCAAGGTAAAAGGAAATAGAAGAAGAAGTGCAAGAAGAAGACATCCAGGAAGGTTTTATTGTTGGAAAGTAGTTTTGACGCATCACAACATCATTGCTTAGAGCTGCCTCATCCAAAGTCAAGATAGCTATGACATCAGTCCAACCTCAGGTAGGATTTTGAGGAGAAGCAGTTTTGAAAGCTGCAGCTGAACACAGTGCTGTCTGGAGATGGAACTTGGTGAGCCCTAACAGTTAAAAGAGTATCCAGTTATTATGCCTGGATAGTGTAATACGACTTAAACTCTTACAATTCCTGAGGAGCAAGCTTTTCTTGCCCAATTCCACTCCCAGTTCTTTTGGCACTGCCCTCAGCTTACTGAAGGGCAAACTGGGAATCCTGTTTAAGCCATCAGCAAGGAAGTATGGATCAAGAGTGTATAAGAGCAGGATAAACTGAAAGGGAGGCATTGTCTCTGATGGTGGATTTTGAGTGGAGGAGCCGCTTTCCGAACTTTCAGCTTCTCTGGGCTGGAGGATACAACTGGGTGTGCCACACAAGCTGCTCTGCCTACTACCTCAGATACAATGAAGAATGTGATCCCTTTGCCACTCCCTCCACCTTCTGTACATGAGATTAAAAGGGGGCATCACCTTGTCCTCTGCCTCAGACAACAAAATGTGGTGGGCTGGCCCTGGCATCTTCTTTTGCTATGATGGTGCTTCTGAAGAACTATGTGCACTCTCTGAGTTGTTATATACCAGTGCCAGGCATCTGGCACAAATGATTCATTGTAGCTTTTCCTGTTTGTGAGTGATTTTTCTATTGATTTGGAGATAACCAAGAGGAAGTTGGCTTACCACAAGTTAAGTTTCTAATTTTTTTATTTTTTATTGTTAGCCGCCCAGAGTAGACTTCGACCTAGATGGACAGGGTATAAATGTAATAAATAAATAAACAAACAAATAAAGATTCCCTCCTCATTAATTTTCCTCATGCTTATGCTCTTGATATTTTTCTCCCCTGTTTGTCAGTTCCCTTTCACCTCACCTCACCTTACCTGCAGTTTGCTTTTCACCCAAAGCTGCACTGCCAAAATCACAGTTAGTCATTTCATGCAGAACTGTATATGCAAAAAACTGACATTTTGATAATGTGATAGTGCGTTAACTGGAATTTATGAAAGCAGGCAAAGCTGTTTTTCTTTGACAGCTACTTTTCAGGAATCATCCATTGTGGATCTTCGCTATTGCTTGGATTTCACCTCCCAACTTCTTAAACAAAGGACTGTGACAAACCCAGACCTACTGGGATGTGTCACACAGTTACACTAAGCTGCCACCAACCATTCCCTTTAAGAAGTCACACAGACCAGGGATGGATTTTTAAACAATAAAAAGAATAAGGTTTATTTAAATACACACAGGGAAAATAAAACAATCAGGTGAATAAAATAAAGTAACGTGGCTTAGTTTCACTCATACATACACACAGTTTGGTTCACACAGAACCTTAACTTAAAGCACAGACCCTGAACCTATCAGTTCTGGCTACCCAACAGACACCTGAACCTATCAGGTTGGTACTCTGACACACAGTAGTACCCTGTCTGACACACAGACTCCCACAACAGCTTCTTCTTCCCAGCTGCTGCTTCGTCACAACCCAGTGTCTCTCAGCATCTCTCTTCTCACCACACAGGCATCACATATTTATACAGTACAGCCCCTCCTCCTGATGTCCCGCCTTCCACTCCCCATAGGATGGAACTTTCCCTCCAAACCCATGACAGACAGGTAACATCAGTGCTGTATGTAACACCTCCCCTCTTTATAAGTTGTTTTGTAGGGGGAAAGCTAACGTGCTTTTCACCAAAATAATTCACATTTACGTCCTCCACCACTACCATTGCCTTTTCTGGAAACTGAAAAGTTTCCATTCAGACAAGGGGAAAGGTAATGCATATATGTGCATTGGGAAGAATCCCATTCAGAGAATTGGGAATAAATTGGGTCTGCTCACTAGGTAAAGTCAATTAAAGTCAAACTACCTAAAGGGTGGAAGCTGATGTATAAAGAAAGGATGCATAAAAATAATAGAGATTATATTGCATGTTATATTCCTGCTCTTTGTTTACTTGTGATACATTGTGCTGGACCTGTCAGTAGGTGATGCTGTCTTTGGTTGTAGGACAAACTGGATGGCCTTTAGCTCTTTTCCAGCTGTTTCTATCACACCAAGACTCTGCAGAAAGCTGGGGTTGCAATGTTGTCACTGTGTTAATATTTTAGGAATGTTCCGAAGTGTATGTGTATGAAAGAAAGAAAGAAAGAAAGAAAGAAAGAAAGAAAGAAAGAAAGAAAGAAAGAAAGAAAGAAAGAAAGAAAGAAAGAAAGAAAGAAAGAAAATTCTAACCCTGCCCACTGCTTCCCTCATTCATATTGCAACCAGTCAACTCACTGGCTGGATTGATATGTGTGAGGAAGTGGGAGGGAAGAGAGAAAAGAGAAGGGGAGGGAGCCACCATGCATTGAAACAATCCTGAGTATTTCCTTCTCTGTTCTTTAGAAACTCCATGCTGCCGTGCTGAAATGAGACAAAACTTGGAGGGAAGGGACTGTAGGGGTTTATACACAGTGCTGCCCTTTACCACCACTGCTTGACTCTCCTGCACAATCCTCTCTGCCCAGGTAATGCCTCTTTCTTTCTTTGCAATTGACTTAATGCCTTTTTATTTGAATGGAAAACTAGACGATATATTACATATACAGATAGTCTTTTCCGTGGCCTATTATCCTTGTTTGGGGGCACTGGACGTACACTCATGCATAGCAATAGATCAACAGCAATCAATGTTGTATGGGTCATTATCTCACCATGTAGTCTTGTTGGTATGCAATTGGCAGAGCAAATTAGTTTGAGCTGAAAAGTTTGTGTGTGTGTGTCCCTGCAGATGCACACATGCATACCTTCATCAACCAGCAGCTTAAATGTGAAAAAGAAATCTCCGGCTGGCTCTTCTGTTTTTATTCTGCTATTAGCAGTGTATTGGTTTGGAAGCCTCTGTCTCATTGACTCACTCACTCTGTCTCTCACACACTTGCTCACACATGGCATAGGCAGCTTGTCACCAAGGCAGGGAATGTACACCGTCGGGAAGTTTGAGAGTGAGGTCCTTCCTCCTACTTAGTAAGCACTGTCTTTATGGCATGTTTTATAGTGTGAGGCTGTGGGATTGTGCAGAATAAGACAATGGGTTAGCATTATTTCTTTCAACTGGAAAACAGTACTAATCCTGACATAGTGCGGCAAGGAATTACCAATCTGGCTGCATCTGTTAGTTCCATTTCTACTTTTCTGAACTGGCAGAAAGTGCAAGCGACCGTATAAAAAGGCTTCTCTCGTTTATGCCAAATCTAACCCGCTCAGTAAAACACTTTGGAACAGATACAATAGACTGCATGTAAGAAATATCTGTAAGCCTTCCTCTACAGCTATGAAGACAAAAAAAAATTATTGTTAATAATGTTTACTAATTGATTCCAAGTCTCTGTAGGCAGAAGAGAACACCTGCAACTACCAATAGATCTCTGGTTGACTTGCAGTAGATCAAAAAAGGATTTCTGACTCCCAAATATTTAACAATAGCAACAAGAAAAAAACTGATACTTCTGTGCTCAAAATTATATGGCTGGAATGAGGGTGATCAGAGTAGGTTTTGTTATTCAATGTGGAGAAAACTCTGTGAAGGGCATTCTGTTCAAAATAAATTTGGGGGCTCCCTAAGTGTATGGCTATAGGTATATGGCTAATATGAAAATTAGATCCCCACATCAATTGCCTTGAGCAACTGCTTAAGCACATTCCTTAGAATTTATCCCCCATCTGCTGCTCATGTTGGGATTCTCTGCTCTTCTGTGATTTAAAAAAAAACTAAGCCTCTGCTACTCTTGTTACAACAGAAGCATCCAAAATGTAACCAGTGAGTTGCATATGGCTCCTGGGGGTCTAATGTGGTCCTCCAATATCACCGAGTCCTCCACATCCCCTCGGTTATTTGGTACATAGAAAATAGGGAGCTAGTAGAGGACATGGGTGTGTGTGTTAGTTAGAAGAAAATGAACTGCTGGATAGTTCCGTGGCTGCAGAACCAGACGTTGGGAGTTTGATTTCCGACTGCACCTCCTTGACAGGCCCTGGACTCGATGATCCACAGGGTCTCTTCCAGCTCTGAAGTCCTGAGATAATTTTTAAATTTGAGGCTGTTTGAGGATTGGGGGCAGATGCCACCCTCCAAGGCCCACAAGTGGGCATGTCCTGCCCTTGGACTTTTCAAAGTTGCCAAGCACTTGGTTGCATTTCTGAAAAACGAAGCAATTTCCACCCTTACACATTATCAAAATTTGATTGATTGATCGATTGATTGATTGATCGATTGATCGATCGATCGATCGATTGCATTTCTAACCATCCCATCTAGTGACAGAACACTACTCTGGGTGGCTAACAGCAATAAAGGGAAATAATTTTTTTTAAAAAACCAGCAACACCTTCACCCAATTAAAAAACTGACCCCAAAAAAATCCCTCCAGAGGCAACAGCAGATAAAAGTCACTTAAAACCACATGGGTCTGCAAAAATATTAAAGAGGGGAGATGCTACCAAAGGCCTCTTTTGAAAGCTCATCTGTGTCATGTGACTCCTTTTCCTCCTCCTCCTCCTCCTCCTTGCCTTCTGGCTCTAATGCTTTGTGCTTTAATCCCATCCACAGCCTAAAGATTCAGAGGTAGAAGCTATTTCAGCAGATAATGCAGGATAATGAGTGGTGTTAGAGAAGAAAAGAGAAATCTACTAGCAGAGAGATTATGAGCGGGATGTGGATGAGGTATGATAAGAAGTCAGGTTGTCCAGACCACAGAGGAAAATACATTGTAGCTGAGTCTGCCGAGCAAGCAAAGCTGCCAAATGATGTTGGCTTCAAGGGTGTCCCTGTGTGAAATCACATAGATTTTACAAAGGTCTTGTACTGAATGAGTGCAGAGGATATAAGCAATTCTGCTTGGAAGCTGAAGGGAAGAGTTGTAAGGGGAAGATAGCATAGAAGAGAAAGAGAGAGTGGAGAAAGGAAGAAGATTGTGTACAACAGAGAGATGATCTGATACCCATTGCTGTCATGCACACTGTTCCTGGCACGAAAACATTGCCTTCTCTCTGTTATTACAAGCCACCCTGGAAATTTTTGAATGGAAAGAAAGTACAGACATTTTAAAAAAATAAACATCCTTGAATTTATTAAACCCACAGTTACAGACTTTTTTAAAAAAATATCCATCGCTGTCATTTATTAAACCCACAGTTACAGACTTTTTAAAAAATATCCATCACTGTCTGGAGACCCAGATGGGGCAAACCTGGGGTACTACAGCTATGGGACACACTGAAGTGCTCTGTGAGGTAAGACAGCGCACTTTCATTATAGGAACTTGATTGGCGCTCTGGGCTGGAAGGCCTAGGGTGACTCTGGTTACAGACCAGCCTCGGGCACTATGGTAGGGCCCCTTGTAAAAAGGGAAAGTTTGGGTTATAAATAAGTTAATAAAGTTGTGGCCCTAGTTATCCCATATACCTGTGTCTGTCTTGTTATTCCAGATTGGGCAGGCAATTATCTACCACATTTCCCATTTTTCTAGATGCTGTGACACAGTTTTTTGGCAGTTTAAACTAATAAAAATGCATTTAAAACTGCACATTTAAAAATATTGGATTCTGGCATAAAAGCAATTTCTGTACACAAGCTAAAATGCAGTTTAAAATACATGTTTAAGCACATGGACTTTATTCGTGCATTAACTCATTCATTAGTTCATTGGTAAAAGAAAAGAAACAATTGATAAAAGAAAAGGAAAGAAGCATGGATTGACCTTTCCTCCAATAAGTTCAAGGTGCCTACTTGGCTCTCCCACCCTATCTCAGCCCCATTTGTCTTCCAAACAACCCTCTCAGGTGCATCAAGCTGAGAAAGAAAGAGCGTCTGACCCAAGAGTTAATGGCTTATTGTGAATTAGTATTCTAAGCACTGCATCACACTCACTCTCTAAATGTAATTTTTTCCATCAGATTTGCAACAAGTACGTGTGATTTTTTTCATCATGCCATTTGAAACAAATGCAGAAATGGGAAAACAGTATGGAGAGGACAGTTGCGTCTGCACTTGTGAAAAAAGAGTGGTTCACCCACACATCTAATCTTGGCCCCTGATGTGCCAAAGTGTTAGTAAGAGGGGTGTAAGGTTATCCTTCACCACCATCTTTTTTTCCACATAGGAAGACATTGTCTGAGGTTTTGCTGTAATCAGCCCTGAAAATATTCCTCTCACATTATGCACAAAATGTGCTGTGCTCCTAATTTGGGCCCAAGATGTCATGTACAAAGCTAGAGAATGGAGATCTGCTGGAGACTTTGATTCTATTTTTAGAAATGCCATAAAAGAAGCATGGATTGACCATGCCAGCAGTAGGCGTGAACACACTGTTGCAGCAAAGGAGTGCTTAAAGAAAAAGGATGCTGCACATTAACTATTCAGAAGGGGAAATGAGATGAGAAATGAGGACATGTGATTTAACCTTTGTGCACAGCTTCCTGCCTGGCACTCAGTTCATAAATTGTTGTTCCACTGTCACCCCTAGGATGTTAACAACTCTTCCTGAATGTGAACAGAAGATAGCTAGCACCTAATATACACCTCAACCACTTGGAGAAAGGAACAGCTTTGCTGTTCCCTAGTGACAGGATCTGGGCACAGGATACATGCTCTTTGTCAAAGTGTTAGCACAGCTTCTTTTGATATTTGGCAGCAGGAAATCATTAAGATTGGATGGAAAATGT